TGTTGTTATTGTTGATGTTGTTGTTGCAGATGAATTCGACAATCACTTCATTTATATTTACGGTGTCTCTGCTATTGATGGCCAACCAGCAATAAACTTTATCATTATTATTGCTTCAATTACTACTATAATTATTATTATTACTATAATTATTATTATTGCTATAATAATAATTATTATCATTTATTATTATCATTTATTGTTAATTATTCTATATATTATATAATCATAGCCAATGCTAGTCTTATCGCCTTTTTACAGATATCAAATCATAGATACGGATATCATAGAGATATAATTAAAAAAGATAATAATAATTATTATTATAATAATTATATTAATAATTATAATAATAATAATAATAATTATTATTATTATTATTATTATTATTGATGATGTTGTCCATTTAGGAAGAAATGCCTCAAAGTCCAAGCTTATATCCACAAAACTTATATATGTATATATATATATATATATATATATATATATATATATATATATATATAAAAACACACACTATACAATACATATACAATACAATACATATACAATACAATACATATACATGTATATAATTGTATATGTTCCTTGTATATACATATAAGCATACATTTTTTGGTGTATATATATATATATATATATATATATAATGTTTTATAATGGCACATGATGTTGATGTGACTAACTTAATGTATACAAAGCATCTCTGTATATATATATATGTGTGTGTGTGCGTGTGCACGTGTGTACATATGTATGTGAACATGTATATACACTTAACATACAAACCAAAAAAATTGTGTATAAATAAATAAATAGTGTTGTGATACGAAGGAAATGTAGTCAGAGAGTTATGCATGCAGACGAGGGAGGGTGCACGCGAGCCTGCATGTACGCATTAAAGTACATAAAATATGCGTGTATGTATCTGTGTGTGTGTGCAGATGTACAAATACATGCTAACTTACATACACACACACATACATACACAAACACATACATACACACACACATACACACACATTCATAGTTCTTGGTTCGCCTACAAAACCGTTTTAACACGATCTTGTTCCAACAAGACTTATTCATCCCATTCCTGACATTTTTTTTATTAATTTGTGTTTGAAGAGCACTGGTCGTTCCCCTAAGTCACTAAAGCATGCCGTTATAATTCCGTTGTTGAAAAAACCATTCCTTGACAGAGATGACGTAACTAATTATAGTCCAATTTCAAATTTCTCTTTTTATCAAAGGTTATTGAACGTGTTGTCTCCAAGCAATTTTTGAATCGTTTAGTTAAGTTCGACTTGCTGGCGGTTCATCGGCCTGGATGCAGACGACATCACTCCACTGAGACTGCTCTTATCCGCGTGACATCTGAACCATTTGCATCTAATGTATGGATGGATGTTCGGAGGCTCTCACTGTTGGCGCTGTTGGATGTGAGAGCAGCCTTCGTATGCGTCCATCAGTTTTTGCTGATTGAACAGTTAAAATATCGTTTTCGTGTTTCTGGAATGGTTGCGACGTGGTTTGAATGGTATTTGCTTGGTAGAACACAACGAATTCTCTTCAGGTGGTTTCATCTGGGGTTCCTCAAGGCTCCATTTTAGGACCTCTGTTGTTTCGGCTCTACACAGCCTTATATGTTCATCATCATCGAAAAGTTTGAATGCCGACGATGTTCAAATCATTGCTCCCATTTGCTGTAGAGCAGCGACATTTGAAAATTTAGTTCACAAATTTGTCTGCTGTATTGAAGATTTAAATAAATGGATGATAGACAACAGACTTAAGCTAAATGAGGGTAAAACTCAGCTTCTGCTCGTCGGAACCTGACAACAATTGCAAATGATTCGCGTCTGCATCAGTCATCCAGTTTTGTTCATCTGTCAATAATCTGGAAATCACGTTCGATCAAAATATGTCTATGGATCATCATTTCAAAAAATTGAACAAGGAATGTTCATTTCAACCAGCCACGAAGGCTCAGACAGATCAGAAATTCGCTCGATGAGGATACATTGAATTGTGTGGTTCATGCGTTTATTCATTCTAAGCTAGACCACTGTAATGGTGTCTTCTATGGAACTTCCAACAAAATCATATGCCAACTACAGTCAATTAAAAGTAGAGCAGCTAAAATAGTTACTGATGGATTGAAGTTTGACCGTGTGAACCTGCACTGACTGACTGTTGGGCTTAGAATTAAATTCAAAACTGGCACCACGGTCATAGTATATACATACACACACGCACGCACACACACACACACACACACACACCTTACACAGACATACATATAAATAGACCCAAAAAAAATATACAAGCCTACATGTGTATGCAAACACCCATAATACATGCATACATACACAGTACACACATACACAATAATACATACATTTATGCATACATACATATTTAAGAATACAAAACACACATCTTTGTGTACGAATAAGCATACATACATACAAACATACACACTTGAGTCCAGCTATTAACTAAAGGACTAATCAGAAGAGACATGTTTGCGCTGCATGTTTGTATGTGTGTATATGTGTATGTATGTATGTGTGTGTGTGTGTGTATGTATGTGTGTATGTATGTATGTATGTATGTATGTATGTATGTATGTATGTGTGTGTGTGTGTGTTTGTATGCATGGAAGAACCCAAAAGCATTGACAGATGGATAAATGTAAAGGAGTTGAAGCATAAATAAGTATAGGTGAAGGACAGATAGAAAGAAAGAGAAAGAATGAATGAATGAATGGATGAAAGAATGAACAAATGGATGAATAAATGAATGAATGAATGAATAGATGAGTGATTAAAAAACTGAATGAAAGTTAAAAATGAGAAATGAAATAATGAAATAGGAAAGATACTATGAAAGAGATGAAAGAGAGAGAGAGAGAGAGAGAGAGAGAGAGAGAGAGAGAGGGAGAGAGAGAAACACGTACAGATACACCTATGTGCATATAAATAATGTAGAGAAGGAAAGAGAAAGAGAGACAGAAAGTAAGAAAGAAGGTGATAAAAAAGAAAAAATTAAGTTTTACAGTGGCAAAAAGGGACATTGTTTAAAAGGAGGAAAGACTGAGTGAATGAAAGACCTCAAACAAACATGTGTGAATGCATCTGTGTGTGTGTTTTTATGTGTATGTATGTGTGTGTTTTTATGTGTGTATGTATATGTGTGTGTGTTTTTATGTGTGTATGTATATGTGTGTGAAGCAAAAAGCTGTGAATGTCAAAAATTTTAAAAGATACGCTGCACGGTATGCACGCACTCGTAAGAGTGCCTAAAAAAAGAGATGGTCTAAGAAGTTGAGGGAGTGCAAGAGTAAGAGTGCGTAATAAAAAGGAATGATATAAGAAGTTGATGGAGTGCAAGGTAGAGAGATCAGAGCGAAAGATGTGAAGAAAGAAAGGGGAAGAGGCAGCAATAGAGAGAGGGAGAAAATCAGAGAAAGAGAGAGAGAAAGAAAGAAAATAGCAGAAAACAAATTTCTGAAAGAATTATAGAAAATAAAATATAAAAAAATATTTAGAGAGAGGAAGAAGAGCAAAGAAGATTGTAAGAGATTGAAGAGATAGGCAGGAGAGAGAGAGAGAGAAAAGAGAGATTGAAGAGATAGACAGGAGAGAGAGAGAAAAAGAGAGAAAGAAGGAGAAAGAAAGAAAAGAGACAGAGAAATAGCACGGGAATAAAGAAAACATTGTTACAAGACGCAGATAAAGAAACAAATAAACGGACGTAGAGAGGGATTTTAAAGGGATTAATAAGAGAAGGAGAGATGATAAAGGGAGATAGAGAGAGAAAGAGAGAGAAAGAGAGAGAAAGAGAGAGAGAGGAAAAGAAAAAGATCATTATCGTTGCCATCCAGTGACGCCATTTCCCATTCCTTAATCTTCACCATCAAACATTTATTAAAGCCATTTTATGGCAACATATACATGCATACATACATACATACATACAAACATACATACATACACACACAAACATACATACATATTCGTAAATACAAATATATGTGTTGAATTTATATTTGTATGTTTGTATTGCACGCAGGCATTTGATATTTGTCAGTATGTATGTGTGTATGTAAGTATGAGTGTATACATATGTGTGTGTGTGTGTGTATGTTTATGGCGATTAATTTATAATTATGTTTCGTTTTATTACATACTTTAAAATGTAGAAGTTGTTTAAATTTTTGAATTCAGAAGTTTTTGAAGAACAGACTTTCTATTCATTTTTAAAGAAAGACATGAATGACAGACAGACAGACAGAAAGCGACAGACAAACAGGAAGAGACAGACAGACAGAAAGCGACAGGCAAACAGAAACAGACAGACATAGATAGACAGACAGACAAAAACATACGGATGAATAATCTAACGAAATGTTCGCTGTCATAATTTCAGATAATCTCCCATTCAAATTAACCTTGGAAAAAATGTTACAAAAAAAAACTCAAAATTAAACTTGGAAACAAATCCAAAAATTAACGAATGGGAAGACCCCTCTCCCTCTTCCCCACCATCATTTTTGATAGACGAGTATCTTTCTGTCGCATTCGAACCCGGTAACTGCGAAACGGCACCAGGCGACAATGACCACTGGGCCACCACAATTACCACTACAGCCATTATTTAACCATCCTTACTAAAATTAATCGCTATTATCACAATTATTTAATAATATTATTATCCAATGATTTATTATTATTTATTAAATATTATTTATTTATTTATTATTGTTATTAATTTATTTATTTATTATGATTTTCGTGTGGATTTTCTTTAAAATGTCTTTCCACTGCTTTCTTCAATGCCTCCAGATAATGAGAGAGTCCGCAGGTGGAGGTCTTGAATGCGATTAAGTAGAATAATTATAAATTTATTATTATTATTTATTATTATTACAATCATCATCATCACCACCACCATCACAATCATCACCATCGCCACCACCGTCATCATTATCATCAGGACCTGAATGAATAGAGCATGGGCTATGAATGGAAGTTTCCTCAAGGTCCTACCACTTAAACCATCGCTCGCCCTTGAAATTTAATTAACTAATTAATTAAATAACTAATCAATTAACTAATTAGTCAATCAATCGAAGCCCGAAAGCTTAACTACGAATATAGAATGACATTTCTGCCGTCGACAAATAGGCCAATAGCAGCTTAATACGACTGTTATAAAATATAAACTGCTATATAATTAATTTGGGAATACTCACTGTGCTATTAATAGCAGCTCGTAGCTTTTCTGATTGGTCAGCTGATCGAAGCTATTTGAAGATATCAGGTAAAGAAGAGCTGATTGGTTGAGTAGTATGTCAGGTTCCCGCTCGATTATGCCCTTCTAAAGAGGTTTCGAAGAACAAAACAATGATGACTTTTAATTAATTAACTCCCAATTAATAAATTAATTCACTTTAAATAATTAATTCTAATCAGCCAATTAGTCCAAATCACCCAATTAATAAACTCTAACCTAAAAATTGAACTAAACCAACCGGCATTTATTCAATCAATCACTTCTCATCCATCCAGTCATCCAGATTCATTCACCCATTCATCCAAATTACTCCAATAAATTAAACCAAGTAAACGATCAATCCAAATAAATTCCTTCACTCATTCGCTAATAAGTATTAATTAAGCCTAATAAGGGTTAACCAATTAATTAATTAAGGTTAATCGAGGGTTAACTGATTAGCTAGCCTCCATGAGCTCTTGGATGCAGTTGAAGTAGATCTCGTAGATCCCGAACTTGCTAGGCAGCCCCACGTACTGTTTGACATCGACCCGGTCCAAGAAGGCAGAGTCAATGACCTTTGACATGTTCGACGTCGTCAGGATCAGTACGTTCGGGTGTCTTGTGAATATTAATAAGGTCAAGTCACGGTCACCAATTGTATTGTTGGATGACGTCACGAATACTTATTAGGTGACGACGTGTTAAGTGGCATCGAATGATTGAATGTTAATAGAGGGTTAAAAAATTTCAAAGGCCAATTTACACCATTCCAAACTTCAGAGAAATCAACGACACACGCATTCGAACGCGGTCACTGAGGAACGCGGTCATCAGACGACCTTAACCACTAGGCCACCATATCACCAATATATATATATATATATATTTATATATATATATATAATGATTCTAAAACGAAAAACACGATTCATTAACTAGTACGTAAAGACCAGTTGAAACTCATAGATACGCAAATTAGCCATTCGTATTTTAATTCGATCGACCAATCAATCACTTTTAGGCGAATTAATCATTTCACTTTTCAATTTAATCAACCAATCGGAATCAATGAGGTCAGGTCAGGTCAGGCAGGGTTAAGGTTAATCAGGTCACCGACCTTTTAATGAGGTCAAGTTGTGTCAAAAGAGCGTTGACCACTCTGATTGAATCTGACGGTTCGTTTATGGACATCATCTGCCGAGAACCGGTCAAGCTTTCGACCTATTTACATATTAATTTTATGTTAATGGACAGCCTCTTAGTTTTCGGATATGTTATCTATAAAAAAAAAGTTAAAATCAGATGTGAATAAATTAATAAATTATGCTAATAATGACCTCGCCTGAAGTTAAAACTAGATGTGAATAAATGAATAAATTATGCTAATGACCTCGTCTATTAGAACGCAGACGAGGACGTCGTCGTTGTTTATGATCTCCTGAATCTTTTGGAACATCTTCAGCACTAACTTGCCGCTCTGTCATATGACGACGGTGATGATGCTGATAGTGATGATGATGATAGTACTGATGATAGTTGCGATGATGCTGATGATGATAGTGATGATGGTGATAGTACTGATGATAGTTGCGATGATGATGATGCTGATAGTGATGATAGTTGCAATGATAATGATGATAATGCTAATTATAAAACCTCTGAGAACCACTTGGAAAACAAACTATGGCTGTTAATCTCAAGTAACTGGCCACACTTGTACCTAATTAATTAATTAACTAATCAAAATTAAAAAATCACATAAATAGAACCATCATAAATTTAATTTCTTTGATAATAACCTGCCAGACAAAAGTATGGTGAGCTTATGGGCCAGTGCCCTGCATAATGAGGTCTTGCCTGTGCCTGGAGGGCCTGAATTAATTAACATAATTTAGTCATAAACGTATTGTTCCACAAACACTACATACATACATACATACATACATACATACATACATACATACATACATACATACATACATACATACATACATACATACATGCACACACACATACAAACATGCATACGCACATACATACACATACACACAGACACATACACACACACACACACACACATACACTGTTGCTTTTTTCTGGTGATAACCTCTGAAAAATGCTAAAGAAAGAATAGTTTAAAAAATATAACATTCATTAGCATTATTTGATACTCATTAGCGTAATTTGATACGCATTAGCATAATTTGATACCCGTTAGCATAATTTGATACCCATTAACATAATTTGATACTCATTAGCATAGTTCTGATACTCATCAACATAAATTAACCGTGCAAGAGAATCAGCCTATTCCAGTTGACGATGTTTGGATTGATCTTTCTGTCAGAAAACAGCATGGCTGTCTTGGCGTACTCCAGTAGCTAAGAAGATGGCATAAAATTATGGTCAGGAAATTATAATATGCAAATATTATCTTTGAATAATTATAAATAGCGCGGTTGCAACTTGTAATTTGCAACATAAAAATTTATTTATTTGATTGACGGACTGATTGATTGATTGGTTAATGCACTTTCTTTTAATTAAATCTAAAATTAATAATTATATATATAGGTATAATTATTTATTCAATTTTATATATATGTACTTATTTACTTGTAAAGTTCATTAACGAATTAGTGAAATCATGATATAAAAGATTCAACACTCATATATAGTATTACACTATAAAAATGTATGAAAACTTATAAAAAACAAACTCAAAATTCATATAAAATCAACATTTCTAACAGAAAACCAAATCAAAATTCACCCAAGCTCAACTATTTAAAAGAACAAATCCAAATATGATAAAAAGAACAAATATGATAAAAATTTAAAAATGTTAATTTAATGAAGAAAAGCAGATGAAAAAAAAACATTTTCTTTGATGTTTTCTTCATAGTAGAGATGCTCCCACTGTCCGTGTAGCCTGGTCGATGGAAGGATGCAGATGTCGGCCGCTGATACATTATCCTCTAGCTCTTCTGTGAAGTTCTCCTGGTCATGAAGCTGGTAGATGCAGAACTCTACGTTTGCCAGATGGCTCTTTACATCAGGAATTTTAAGTTTTCAATTAGAGAAAGAATACAAATAATTTTTAATTTACTAAATATTAAATTAAATGTTGAAAAGTTTGTTTAAAAAAGCATAATTAGTTGTTGAACTTGGTTAAACTTGCAGTTGTCTGCCACACAGCCAATGATGTTCATCTGGAAAACGTTTTGCCTCAAAAACTGGTCATCAAAGTTTGTGATGACTGTTTCTCCATATGGAGAAACCAACTGGCCGATTAGGTAAGTTCTCAATTTGGCCTCAATTTCACATCGTTTGGCTTTACTTTTTAATTATTTATTTAATCAAAATCAATTTTTGGATTAATGAAAATTTTAAAAATTTAAATAAAATTTCGGATTTAACTTCTTCCTTTAATCTTTATCGAACCTTCTGGTTTTTAGTCCCACTTCAACACGGATTGGTTTTTTAGATTTCGGATCGGAAAAAATATTCGAAGATTGAAAATTATTTTCTTGAATCAAAATATCATTTTTTAAATAATTAACGTCTCCGCCACCAATTTCCATTTTTTAAAGTTGTGTTTAAAGAGATCTACATAAATTAAATAAAAAAAATTCAATTTTAGCGGCTCGATAAAGTTTTAAAAGTGAATTGATTAAAATATTTGAAAGTGCTTTACGACTTATCAGTAAAATGAAGGGCTATAAAAGCTATGAGTTAATAAAGTTCAGCAGTGTAACATAAATTACAATTTACTTATTGTATTTATTACAATTTCCTCGTCAAAAATTTTCAAAGGCATCCACAATAAACACACAGTAGTAGTAGTGGTGGTAGCAGTAGCAGCCTCAATAACGGCTGTAACGGTAGTAATACTACCACTAATAGCAGCTGAAGAAGCCGTAGAAGTAGCGTTAGTGGCAGTAGAGCGTGTGTGCTACTATTATTTTATAACGTAATTTTACAAGGAAGTATGAAAATTGCGAAACTTCTTACATTATAATGACATAGAAGAAATTATGAGTTACATATACACATTCATCATCGTCGTCGTCACGAATTTCACCATTAAACATGATCGTGATCATTATCATCACCTTCCTAATCGCCATCATCATCGCTACCCCGTCATCATCATCATTATCCGTATTATCATCATCACCACCATCATCATCATCGTCAAATCAAAATTTTATAATTATACGATATTTAATTGTTTGAAATTATGAAAGAATTTTTGTCTATCTGATCAAAGTTTTTAACGAATCTTCAAATAGCCTAACTTGTTAAAAAGGCATTGATCAAATAATGCATGCCTAGTTAAAAACACAAACACACGCGCTCGTGTATGTGTATGTATGTTTGTATGTATGTATGTTTGTATGTATGTACGTTTGTTTGTATGTTTGTATATATGATGGTGTTTAGCGATTTATATGTTAATGATGGCGATAGTGATGAGGATCGTGGTGATGGCTGTGGTGATGAGGATGTTTGGTGGTGGTGGTGGTGCTGATGGTGATGACTTTTGTTTATAATGACAATTTTCTTTTGTATTTTTTTAATTATTGTAAAAACTGGTAATAATTATGTTTTTTTTTTTGTAGTGATTTAGATTACAGAAATAATTTCATTTTTTTTAATTTGATCACTTTGTATTATATCAGACTGGTTTTTTATTTATTTTTTTGAAACTATTTGCAAGGTGGCTACGCTAGATGAGTTAGATGATAACTTGATCATAGTCATCCTGTCTTCTATTCTTTTTTTGTTAATTTTTTAGAAGCAAATAAAAGTATCGTATCGTATCGTATCGTATATGTATGTTTGTATGTATAT